TAACAAAATGAGCAGGAATGTAAGGTCTGGTCTGGGAGTAGCAGAAACTAACCAGGGCATGCGGAGGAACTGTCCGCAGGGGCAGTGCTGACACTTCCTCCTGATCTTGGGTGTGTTTAAGAGCACCCTCTGGAGGGTGGGAATTGACAGCCCACTTCTTTCTCTTTCTCCTCATCCTTCATTTCCCCCCTCCATCATCCTGCTCTGTTTTGCTTCATTCCCTGGCTTGTTTGTGCTTCCCTGATCACTATGGCAACTGGAATAATAACAAGTATAAAGCACCCAAGATAGTACTTAGGTGGTCAGCCAAGCTAGTCTTTCTCTCCTCTTCTTAGTTCATTAGAGCCTGGCCATTTCTCTTTCCTTTGAATTTCTTCTTTTCCTCTTTTTCCATCTCCACACATTCTGTATTCTTTTCCTCCCTTTCCACCATATAGAATCACCGTATAGAAGAAAGAAATTATTCTCCACCACATGAAGCTGATTAGTTCTTTGAGCTAGAGTTTTTAAAATATCTGTAGATTATTGTTTAAAAGGCTCGATATAATTTTGAAACATTTTTCACAACTTTTATCTATCTTAATATATCAAAGATGACATCAAAGACAAATGTTTCATCCCAAGGGTTTAATATCATGACTTAATGATTTGATTGTTCTGGTAACAAATTGATATTGGAGGGAAGGTAAAGGTGCCCTAAACCTTGAGCTGTCCATTTTTAATTAAATAGATTTATGATGCGCAACATATTTGGTTAAACAAAGTTACTACTATTGATGTATTAGAATATCCATCATTTTACGCTATGTGTGTTTGTGAGTGTGTGTGTATGTGTGTGTCAGAGCACTTAAAGGGATTACTGAAATGGATGGTGCACACCTGTAACCCCAATATTCTGGAGGCAGAAGCAAGATGATTGCAAGTTCAAAGACAGCCTGTGCTAAATAGCAGCTTAAAGCCTAGCCTGGGATACACAGTAAGATCACATCTTAAAAACAAAACTAAAATACTAAACCACAAATGACAATTTAATATATCATACATACACCTATATGTATGCATATCACAAATTGTTTATCCATTTACTTGGTTTATTTTGTCTCTGCATTTTGGATCTTCTGAATAATACCTAAAGAACATGAGAATTGGCTTATTCCAAGGAATTCTGATTTCAGTTTCTTCAGATAGATAGATAGATAGATAGATAGATAGATAGATAGATGTATATATAGATGATAAATAAATATATATGGACTGCCAAGTCAAATGGTAGCTCTATTTTTAGTATATTAAGAAGCTTCATATTCTTTTCCAAAATATCTATACAATTTAACATTCCTACCTTCAATGTATGTGGACGAAGGGACCCCTTTCTCTACATTCTCACCAACATTTGGAATCTTTTGTCTTTTGAATATTAAATATCCTAATGGCGTGAGGTAATATTTCACTGTAGCTTTTATCTGTACTTTCCTAATGGGACATTATGTTGAAGACCTTTCAGTATATCATCATTGGCAATTTTTCAAAGAAGTCCATTCAGATCTGTCAGCTATTTTTAGAATGAGTCATATTTCAATTACATCTTTTAAAACTTCATACAACACAATGAACAGGAAGCAAATAGTTTAAGAATAATCTTAGAATGTTGGGAAAGTTATCAAATATTCTGAGTTTACTGCATCAATTTGCTTTTGAAATTGTAGAGACTAGAAAGAAGAAGATGGAAGGAGAGAGTCGAGAGTTCTTAACACTTTTCCAATACAGGTCCAGGCAAGATAAAGGACAGGAAACTACACAGGCTGGTACTCAGAATTCCACTCGTTATTTCAGTCTATGCAGACAGAAAAGCACGGTGACATGTTAACTTTTACAAGAGAAAAGAACCTTTTAGAAATCTTTCTGTCTCATGGTAGTCCATTCCCATGAACATTGCTATGTGTTGGTAGCAATGAATTGAGAAAGCAGAGGATCGATCTATGGAAATCATTTTGGCAAAGGGTGCTCTAGTTTCTCTCCTGAGACTCTACAGATACATTATTTTAGATACTCTGGAATTTAGGAAATGGATTTAAATCACTTCTTTCAGTGGCCTTGGGATTCCTCTCATTGCGTCATTCCTGTATTTCAATGGATAATGTCAACTACAATATCTGAAATAGAGCCTAATACAGTCATAAGCTATATTTACTTAAACCGAATGATAGCCAGCATGCAGAAAGAAGGGTTCTAGAGATAGCTAACAAAATAAAACATTTGGCAGGGGGAGACGTCTATTTTGATGATTAATTACTCAGCAACCTTCAAATCATTACATGTTAGGAAGTTATTAAGAACACTTGGTATATTATTTTAAGGTAACAATCTGGTGTAGAAAACCAGGGCTTTAGGCTTTGCCATGCTCAGCATCATCCAGGAAAGAAAATAAATTTGCATGTTCATCTTGTTTTCACACACCCTAGATAATATCAAGATGAATGCAGGTTTCTGGAAGCTCCTAATTAGTACATATTTCAAGTCCTCTTCCACCGCTTAAAAAGTCAAGTGGAAGAATTTTTAGGTAGTCTCCTTAAATCAATATTGTAAGCAATATACATGCCATATCATTTAACTTTGAAACCATAGAGAACATGAGTTGGTGTTTGTTGCATGCTGAGTATTTGATAACTGGATGAAATAATAATATATGGGTGTTATTAATTCTTATTCTTTCATTTTGTGAACGGTCCATCAACACATAAGTAGTTCCTACATAGGAACAGTGAACCTAAGGTATTGTAACGTGAGGAAACATGATGTTTTGTCTCATAGCCGACATAGACACAATGGGAACAAGGGCACAGTGAAGGTGTTTCCTCCTAGCAGGTCTGAGCATCGCTCTTGGGGAAGTCAGGAAAATGGTCAAAGCCATGTGAAAGCACCAATCACCTGATGAAGACACTCATGCTAAGCGTCACACGCATCTTACTCAACTTTCTTCTCCACTAATGATCTATGTAAATATGTAAAGCTGTGCTTAACACTGCGGTCATTTTATCTGAGAAAACTGAGACTTGAGAAACCATACACATATGACATGTGAAATCTACATTTGAAACCCCACTGTTTGGTTCTTCACACTGTCTTGGGTTATTATCTGTTTCATGATGTTGGAAAACTTCACTGTGGAAAGCAAGTGTATAAAGTACTAGTGATCTTTCTGTATTTAAGACTTGAAGGTGGAAGACTTATATAGACCAATACATAATTCATCACCTTAGAAGTATTGTTAGAGTACATTACTATAATATTATAATGTAGGGCTATCTAGAATTATCATATTCAAATAATTGACAATGTAGAATGGGATAGACTGTCTAAAAGTGCTTGTTGTTTTATGGAATTAATTTATTTTCAAAGAAGTCAGTTTGGCCGAGAGAGGGGCTAGGAGTGCACAAGGATTGATAAGTTGTGTGGCAGGAAGGTGAATCAGTGAGGGTACCATTCTTTCACACATCTCGTCAGTGATGAGCACACAAATCCTCAATGACCTAAGACTTACTTGAAGTTTTTCACAAAAAGACCCACATCACCTTTTAATCTAAGTATAATGTTGTTAAAGCAGATCCTGAACTTGTTATAAACACTAAAAAACCACAATAACAATTGACATTCATTTCACTCTTAAAGACTTTTAGACAAGATGATATCTGAGAATGTTGGAGTTCGGAGGATAATCTCTGAGATTCCCCTCACCCACACACCTCATTTCACACAAAAACAGACACATAAATAAAACCCCCAAAACCCAAAGTTCCAAGGAAAGACTAGAGTCTCTAGCCACCCAGTGTAAAACAGTTAATCTTGTTCTCAGTGTTTCTATTCTGCTGGCCTCCTGTGAGCATTACCCATGAAGTGGAGTGTGTGTGTGTGTGTGTGTGTGTGTGTGTGTGTGTGTGTGTTTCACTAAGTTTACTTCATTGAGCAAAGGGCCCATTCAGTCTCTGTGGCTGTCTTTCAGAACAGTGGAACTCACAGGGCAGTTGGCATTCATTTATCGGTGTGCTCTTTGACCTACTTCAGATGAAGTACCCCACACCCTCGCATACACGTTCCTTTAGATCATCTTCATAGTAACCAGAAGAAGTGATTTCCAGAAACAGCTGAGTGTCGACAACACAAAGTTGTCGCTGCAAGTATAAAAGGTCCTCACTCTGGAAAGCAAAGAACGGGTCCTGAGACCACTCTCTGGCAACAACTTTGTAAACAGCCAGTTCAGGTAGAGTCCACCACAGTCAACAAGGAAGTTCGAATAAATCCGTTCAGGAGAGGCGTCCTGCACGGTAACCTCTTTCAAAACCCGGCAAACCTCATTTCTTTCTGACGCTGAGCATCCTTACAAAACTCTGGGATGGGGCGGTTATTTGCTGCAAACTTCGTGAAGTACAGCGCCAGGCCACCTCTTTTTAAGCTTGCTGATTTCAGAGGGACTGTGTAAAAGCGAAGACAATCTTATAACTGAGGACTACATGTATGTATCTCTAGACTTTCTGCCTGAAGTAGCCATAAGCCTTTCAAACGCTCTTTGCAAACCAAGCGGTTCTGTTTTATTTGGAGAACTTCTCTGGTCCCAGCTACTCTAGCCGGTGGCCCTGCTCCAGGGAGTGGGAGTCAACCTAAGGTTTTCAGAAGCATCCAAACCAGCGCCCGAGAGCTAGTCACTAGCTAAAGGCAGGAAGAAATCGCAAGCACAGAGACATCTAAGGCGCCCTCTTTTCAGGAGGGCTTGCAGCTTCTGCGTGCTCCATACAGGGTCCTGTCACCGCCTAGCTATCACGCCAACACGGTCGGCTGGAAAATCATTGGGCTCTCCTGACTCCAAACCCCAGCCGGCTCCGAGAGTGGACAGAGCAGTTCCGCCCGTCACCCAACAGGCAGACACACAAACAACAAAAGAAATTGTTTGCCCTCCCGGGGGAGGCCAGCATGCATTAAAAGAAGACACAAACCCCTCATCCTACCTTGCATCCAAACATCAACGACAAAGTGTTGTTGGTGCAAGCAACTTTGCAGTGGCAAATCATTGGTGTAAAACAGTCAGGGTCCTTAAGAACAGGGGACATTCCTTTCAGCTGCGGCAGTGGCAGCTCGCTGGGGGGACCCGAACTCGGTGCTCACCCAGAGTTCCCAGCGACAGCCTGGACAGCCTAGACCGAGCAGCAGCAGCTATGATCGCTGCCCCCTGTGCCCGGTGCAGCCATCCCCAGCCTAAGTGCAAAACACCGCTGCCCGCAAGTACTGTGCGTCTCGGGGTCTGTCTTCCCAGGGGAACGAGGAGTGGGGGAAGGGACAGAGAGCACAGAAGGGTTCCCCACTATACGGAAATTGAAGAAGGTAAAATAAATATAAATGTAAATAAATAAATCAAAATAAAAGAAAGCGAGGCGCTCTGAGGAGGGTTCGAAGGAGGTGGGGCAATATTAGCATGTAAAAGGATGTGCCCGCCTACTCGCCCCAGTCACACTAGATTGTCAAGCAAACTGAAGGGGGCTGAGATTATTCCCTCGGAAGGAAATTATAAAAAAGAAGAAAGAAAGAAAAAAAAGCCATAATGCAGTTCCCAATTTGGTAAGAAGCCAGTGGCTGGCTGCAGCAATCCAGAGTCACCGTGGGGAGCGGAGCGCTGGCCCAGAGAGGTGGGAGGGAGGGGCGAGGAGAGGGAGGGAGAGGTGCACGCTGCTCGCCATCCTGGTGGCTCGCCGGGTGCCACCAAGAAGTCTCTGACTCCGGTGGGAGGACCATTTCTAAGGGGTGTGACCCCCGAGACCACACAGGCCCCCATTACTACTGCTGCTTCAGGGTGGACAGCCTCAGAGGTTGAGTTCCTGGGAAGAAGACAGCGCCCAGCAGTGGAGGGACTGTCCTCCCCACCCCCATAGAAGATCTAGTAGGAGATGGGGGAGGGGACTGTGGCCCGCAAAGAGATCTAGTGTAGAATTAGGTTCCTAATGATTTTGCTGGTTAATGCCTTCTGGGTCAGCGAGTCCACTCGCTCCCTAGGTTGGAAAAGGGACCTCAGAACCAAGCCTTTATCTGATGATGACGTTTATTTTTTTTTTTGCTTTCTCAAATTCAAAAGGGAAGGACATTCTGCCCTGCCCCCCACCTCGGTGGCTAAGAGGCTCCCAGAAGCCACCGAAGTATCTTTGCTGTTCTAGAAGTATAAATGAGGAGACCAATAGATGCTTTATTGTTTGGGCTGGTTTGGTTTGGTTTTTATACCTGAGTCTGTGAAAATTGCAAAAAAGACTTTAAGTTAGTAAGCAGCTTACACAGCTGCAGAATAGCTTAGCGGTGACTTTTAGGATGTGATAAAAAAAAATAAGTGTAAGAGGCAGGAAGTGGAAAAGGGTACAACTGGTCTGAGGCCACCTGGATGCCAGGAACATTCCTCACAGATGGTAGGATGGAGAGAGCAAAAAGACATCAGGGTGTGGAGTAAGAAAGTTCTGGGGCTGGATGTGGTGGTTCCTGAGTCATTTGCAAGGTCTGAGCGCCTTGTTTATCTATTGATATGCCTCAGGACACCTAGAGAGAGATGGGGGCAAGCCGAACAGCTGGCCATCTACTTTTGGACCAAGCATCAGAACAGGGCAGCGCAATGGCTCTACTCTCTGTCTACAGATCTAAGAGAGCAGGCTCTCTTTCTCACACCATAGAATCAGTAAGGCAAGCAAGGTAGGTTCAAAGAATAGGGATGAGATGGTTTAAAAACCAACCTCACCTATGACCCCAGGAACCTGTCCAGATTTACAATGCTACAACAAGGACAAAAGAAAAAAAAAAAGCTGGAAGTTATTAGGTCAAATGCATTCTCTTATAAAGTGTCATTTATCACCCTTATCTAAAATAATCCATGCTCCTCTCTGGAGTTAATGTACACTAAACTCCATAGAATTCTTTGCATATTAACAAAAACCCCAAACTTTCCCCACCCAAAATGACATTCTCACTTCTAAGGCAAGGAAGATGTCCGAAAAAAAAAAAAAAACCACTTTCACAATCACCTCCCAACTCCAGTAAGGGGAATTTGAGTTCTGCCTAAGAAATGAAGAACATTTGCAAAGTCAGTATGGCATCCAGTATGAACAAAACTCCATGGGGGATTGAGCAGGAATTAACCAGGGTTCTAACTGAAGAGGGCAATCATGGCTTAGGATTTGGTATTTATACACATGGGGAGCGGGGCTGCTGGAAAGTATGTGTATGTCACTCTTACATATACTAAGGCATATTTTAGGAAAACACTGGTATGAGGCATTTTGTGTCGTCTGAAGGTTGTGCTAACAGATGAGGTATAGACTTTTGCATTCCCCCCATAAGCTTTGTGAGTGTGGGAATGCTTCCACCTACGGAATGTCTGTAAGTGTGGCTGCATTTTCCAAGGGAGAAGAGATTCTAAAAATGTGGTGCAATATAGTCCCCTTATTCATTAGCCTATAATTTGGATTTCAAACACCCCAAACGTATTATATGCTCTATATTGTCATGATCCAATAATATCTAACACAGTCTTTCCCTGATGAATTTGCCAAGTTAAGCCTGACCTCCTATTCTAGGGCAGCATTAAGGGATCTTACGTTCAAGTTATTTTCCGTTCAATCGTTAGTGCTGGTTCAGATTGATAAGGCCTAATGAGAAAATACAAAGCAAAAATGTGTGTTTTACTTCTTCTGTCTCTTATGCTTTCATCAAGAAAAAAATCATTTATCTACACACTTCTCTCAATAAACACATATGCATTTCTGTTTATATGTGGTATGTTTGAAGACATTTGATGACTGCTCTTTCTTAGCTCCTGTCTCTCAATAATAGTTCTAAAGCAATTGGAGGGTAGAGAGAATGTGGGGGCCTGTGTGCATTACAATGAACTGTTGAGTTACAGCCAGCAACCACTATGGTTACAGAACTGAGGCACTGTTACCTTAAATAAGATGTGCACCCTGCTCTAGGAATTCCTACTGCCTGTAGCCTTTACATACCTGCCCACTTGGGTGTGGCCTCAGACTATTTTGCCTAAGTGCCTCAGTCAGGTCCTTTTCCAGCTGTGGGATTTGGTTGCTGTTCTCCGTTCCAGCAGAGGATTTTGATTTGTGAGTCTACCCCTAAATAAATAACTCTTTATTATTCTCAATTCTGAGCTAGTGTGGGATTTCTTTTAAGTGTCCTTCAGCACACACTGTATTATTGGTCTGAAAAGTACTAGTTTTGGAAATATACAATATGGGGATGGTCTGCAATATTTTTAGGAGGAAATATTTCTCAGAAAGGGTAGGATGTGACATGTTCATCATAATATCAAAATAATAACCCTTGTTTGGACATTTTGCTGATTAGGAGCATTGATGGGACTTTCTGATAACGATATCTTTCATAGAAAGCAGATTGCACACATATTTCCGTGACCGTGCTACCTCACATCTCCCTCGATATTAATCCCACTCGTGAAAACAGTGTTATCAACAAACATGGACAGGGTCCAGATACCTTTATTAGTCTTTTTCATTGTTTGAGAAGTTGGGGTAAGATATAAGTCACTATTTAGTTACCTTTTTGGCTAATCATTTTCATAGCTATTTTATTTTATATGCACAGGCGTATGCCGGGTATCACACATGTGTCGTACATGCTACCCAAGAACTACAGAAGAGAATGTTGGGTTCTTGGGAATGGGCAGTATAGAGTTGGAACTGGCTTTGTGTGTGCTGGGAATTGAACTCCGGCCCTCTGGAAGAGCACTCGGGGCTCAAAATCTTTCAACTTTCCTTTCATTCCCCAAAATATAAAGAAGCTTTAAGAATCTATTTCTTTGCCATCATTTGTTCTCAGCGAATACATATTTATATGGCATTATCTATTATATAGGAACTTAGTAGTGCTTGTTCTGTGTTCTCTTCTGAATGCTTCACTTTGCTGGAGTCAGACCCTGTTCAATAGGGTTGACTACGTGACCTTCTCATTCCCCATTCAGTGACACCCTTCCCAGTAGTTTGGGATCAATTAAAAGGAATATTTTTACCCTATACTCTGGCAAATACTACACATGTGGACTTCTTTCTTTGGACAAACGCTCAACAATAGGGCACACTGCCTTAAATACTGCGTCCTCATTAGTCTATTTTACCATTGCAATCTCTCAATCTTTATCAAAGAAGAAATCTGTATCATAGTAAGAATAGCTTTCCAAACCGAAATTGGTATACTAATCAGCTACATGAAGCAACTAATCAAAATATTTTAATGACGTTCAATCACATATATTCATCTCTCATGCTGAATGTCCTTAACATCTTACATCTCACTGTAGAACACAGTGCTCCATGGAGGAAGAACAGCCTCTATTAGGGGCATGATGCTCTTCTCATGGGAAAAGGGAAAATCCTAGACACGGAGTCATTCTTAAAACTTCACTTTGGAGAACAACAACAGTAACAGTATCTTCCTACTTACACAGTTATTAGCCAAATAACGCCATAGCTATCCTCGTCCTAGTGAGTGAAGAAGGCCAGTCCTCTTAGAGGGATGGAGGAGAACAGATTGGGGAAAACAACATAGCAGCCTACAGCTTAGTGAGATAATAGAAAGAGGACTCGAAGGTAAGTATCGTGACTTATAGATCCATTCTGCTTGACGCTCACCAGCTAAGATTGTGCAAATTTTCATTCATTTTCTATAATACAGATTGTTATTTCAAGGGCTTCTTCCCTGTTATTCCCACTAAGAAAGTATTACACAGTTTATGGCAATACCGCACTGAACATGCCTAATCTTGCCAGAAAAACATAAGAGATTCACAAAGCAAGCTCAGGGGCAAATCAGAAACACTAGAATGTGCTAAGAACTGTGTGGTTTCAGTCTTTGAATCCTTTTCCTTCTCTTTTACATTGCACATAGAAGTCCACTTATTTCATTTAAGTATTTAGTAGAAATGTTTTCATATAATCAATAAAGCAAGCAATATAAACAAGGTATCTTTTATCATGGACTTTCCTGAACTATGTAATGCAGCTTATTGTTATCAAAGAGATTAAAATTAATTAAACAAATTTGCTTAGAAATCATAACTGTAGGAAGGTGTGCATCCATAAGCATTAATAATTTTATTTAAAGTCCATACAAATACTTTATGAATAAAATTAAATTCCCCAAAGGGCTATTTTCTGTTCTGCAACATGGTAATGATATTACAAGATCTCTAGAAGGTTTAAATGAGAGGATGTATTAGCAAATAACTTTCGCCCTTACCTGATTGGTCCTACACATAAAATAAATCCTGTATATTTTCTGATGATTTTCTCTCAAATTAACAGAAAGAAATAAACCCTACTACATTTACCAAATAATTCCAAGTCTCTAATGGCTCTTTTTCAACTTGTTCTTGTCCCTTCCATTTCTCTCTTGCCAAAGAACACACCATCTCAGTAAGATCTTGTCAGGTCTCATACACACTAATTCTGATATCCTCCATGTTCCCTTCGTGCCTCTGAGCCCTCA